CTCCCACGGACGAGCAGCGCCGGCCTCAGCTGTTGCTCAGCTCTCCCTCCTCCGGCTCAGCAGCTGCTTGCGGAGACCACAGACGCCATGAGCTCAGCGGGACCGGCCTGACCGGAGGCACCGGGGCCTCGCGCGTGATCCCTGCGCACTGCTGTGACAGACACGCACAGGGAGCTGCTTTGGGAAAGCCCAGCAGGACAGAGCACAAGGGACACGGTCCAGGAGGCTGCCTGCAACTCCAGAGTGTTGGGAGCCCCATGCCGCGTGGGACACGCGCCGTGTCCGGCCCCGGCGCGCAGCTGCCTGCGCCCACACCTCCCATTAGCTGCAAGAGCAACCTGCAATTCACAGGGCTTGAGCAATTGCCAATTATCCAAATTAAAAGCTGCCGCTGGGGGGCTGGCAGGTCACCAAGCCTCAGCGGAGCAATTCCCAGGCTCGGAGTCACCGTGTTTTTAATTTTGCCTTCTCCCGCTCCATGATGAAATATGTGAAGTGCAGTAGCTGGAACCCACAGCAATTGCAGTCCTGCGCACACGGGTCCCCAGAAAACTCACTTTGCAGAGCTGTTTGCGATGCAGAAAGGCAAGGTGGGAGGAAACGCTGTTTCTCCTGCACTGCCAGGAGCTGCGGGTAGCAGCTCCCACCTCCTGCCCATCTGGGATTTGCCCAAAGTGCCAGCCCCAAGTCCTGCAGCCACCTGGGCATGGCAGGACTCTCACTGCACGGGGGGCTGGGGAGCATCCAGAAACAACCCTTGTTGTTTCCTTAGTGCCGGCATTAAGGAAAGGGCCGGGACACAGGGAGGACGTTTGTGCATGACAGCCCGGGCTAAACATGGGGTAGCAACAGGCTCCCTCACCAGCTCCATCTGAAAATAGGCAGCTCTGCTCCTGTAAAAGGAGAAGAGGGAAACCTGGAAACGTCCCTATGCTGCAGCCCCGCGGCCGGGCTGGGGCCTGGGCAGGCATCGCTCGCAGCGGCATGCCGGGATGAGCCGCGCGGCTTCCCAAATATAGCCATGCACGAGCGGCAGCGGCAGCTGGCCCGGGGCAGATGGGTCCCCGCCCCCGCTCCCTGTCAGATCAGGAACCTCCCCATGGACACGCGCTTCATGTCAAGGGATAGAGACATCCCCAAAGAGCGTGTAGAAATCATGGCTCTAGCCAGCCAAAAACACAGCAGAAGCTCCCCGGCCCCTGCGGCAGTGTGGGGGTCCGGTCCGGAGGAGGGTGTGAGCCAGGAGCTTTTCACTGGCTCTGGAGATAGCTCCGCAAACAGCTCAGGCTGCTCGGATTCTGCATTTCACACTGCACAACTCATTTTTATTTTTATTTTTTTTCCTGCCTCTGTCAGTCCGGGAGAACTCCCCGCTCCATCCGCTCTGCGCGCACACATGGCCACGTCTGCTGCTCCTTCTCCTCGCACTGCCACGAGCTCCTCAGGTGGGGAAGCCCTGCAGCCGCTGCAGCCCCCGGGACCCCTCCGTGCTGAGGACCCGGCTCCCCAGCCTGCCCCATGGCACCAGATGCCCTGAGCGTGATTGCCCAAGAAACACCCGCAAAAAGCCTTGAGAGAGGGGCAGCAGCAGCGCTTGCACATCCCAGAGCCGGTGGTCAGGGCAGTAAGGGGCTCCACGCAGTGCGCAGCCCCTCGTGCCACCCTGTCACTCTGCTGTGCTTTGGGGCCTGTCCGTGTTTGCCTGGCACTGCTCGCAGCCCGCCTGCAAGTGCAGCGCGGGGGCGGCTGCTTATCTGAGCTACTGTCAACATCTCCCCGCTTCCGCTGCCGCGGGCACAGCGCCGGCTGCGAGGGGGGTGCAAA